TAAATCACAGTCAATACAATTGCCCAGTTAAAATTTCAGCCACAAAAATCATCTCTTTCTCATCTGACCCTATTTCGCTTGACACACATCTAACTGTTTGCTAATGGCGGCCTAACTGAATGTGTGGGTGTCATTTTTGGCTATAAATCGTATTGCAGCAAATTGCCAGGCCACAAGTGATTTGCAAACACTTTCAATTAGTGACAACAAATATCCGTGTCAATTCGGTGATTTGTAAACAACAGTGTCAACCGGCAATCATGTCATCAACTGCCGACCAATGACCATATCATCAATAACACTCACCTCATCATTATCACCTTCAAAACATGCCCAAGCATAAGTCTACATACAATCAAACGTACCTACGTATGTATATATGTATGTATGTATGTATGTATGTATGTATAAGTGACGGCAGACATAGTCCAGCATATTTACGAGCGTGTATAATGGCAAGCAATTTGCAAGTATAAACACCAGCAGACAAACACACACACTGCAAAATTTTGGCAACATTCGTACATTAACTAAGCCACCAACACTGCCACAGCCACTCATTCACCTTCAATGTTTATCTTATTTCAGATGGCTTCCAGTGTAACATACCCACCGCTCAGGTTGAGTACATGATTGGGCTGAAGAATGGCAGCGCTTGCAAACCGATGATTGAATGTCAAGTGATTGATCCTTACGACAGCAAAGGCAGTGTACTGGCCGATAGTGAATGCATTAAAGTAAGCAATTTGCACCGCCCTGCGCCCCATTTATGTATCTGCAACATGTCACATATTTAATCATACCTCCAACTCTCTCTCTCTCTTCCATCTCTCCCTCTCTCTCTCTCACACTATCTTTCATATGAATTCCCGCACATATCCATAGATTACTGGCGACTTGGATGCCACATTGGGCGGCTACACTGCCATCCGCCTGCTGGGCGACATTTTCGTGATGGCCGCATTGACGCTGCTCAACACCGCCATCGTCATTGCAGTGCGCGAGACATCGGAGGGACGCGGTGAGGTATGCCGTCAGTATGTGTGGGGTGCGATCGGTTATGTGCTGCTCTTCTCGCCCATCGATTTGTTTGCCTTTTCGAGTGACTCGAAACACGACGCCGCACTGGTGGCACTAATACTTGTCATTGTGTGTCTGCTCATCGGTGCCTTAGTGCTGCTGTTTGCATCGCAAATGCCGCTTAGCCCGCCGGAGTGGTGGTGGCACACAAAGACCGGCATGCTCGTCTATCCCATGTCGGCAATACGTCGCTATAGCCCCGAAATATTCGTGCTTACACTTGTCGCCATACTATTCGGCACATTCTGGAGCTGCATTCACAGTTTTCTCATTTGGACATTCAGCGATACGTATGCGGTCACCTATTCTGGGTTGATTTTGGTGTTGGTGCTGTTCTTCAATGTCGACAAATTCATCGAATATTGTGGACATTCGAATATCTTTATCGGCGGCTTTGCGGTTTTCATCATACGCTTCACTGCGCTGAGCAGCGATGGCACCCAATGGCTGACCGTTGTCATGGAGGCTATCGAGCCGGTGGTCATCGGAGTTGTGTGGATTACGATTATACTGTATATGCGACATGCGATGCCCAGGAAGTTGACAGCGACCGGACAGGCAGTGGCTGTGTTGGCCTTCTTCGGCATTGGTAAGTAACTAAGTGGTTGGATTAGTGTTTTGGTAAGGAGCGTAAATGCGGGCAGAGTTGCCAGATGGTTTGGATGGAAGTGTATGGAAGTGAAACTGGTGGTTTTCCGAAAAGTTATTCTTCGTGTATTGAGAGAAAAATTGTAAGCGTTTTTTTTTTGGGAATTCTCTTTGCTAAGCTTTTTAACTTTGGCTGACTATAAATTAGTATTTTATCATTTTTGAGAAAAGATCATTTAAAAATTTTCTAGAAAATTTCATAAATTAATTTCATTTTATTTACTTTTAATTGTGTTATGCCCAGTGGAGTAAGTATGTAGTATAAATTCCACAAAATATTTCGAGGGCACAACTGTTCTAATTAAGATGTCGCATGGGTCAGTGATCGAAACCGGGTCCTACAGAGTAGGCCGCCTATAATATTTAATCAACATTGTTTTTTACCTAAAAACATTTTTCCCTTGTAAGCTTAATATTCAGCTCTCAAGAAAAGTCTCATGAAATATTTTTCATTCTGTCGCTTCAAAAAGTATAGTACTTTGCCGTATTTGTAAATTTTCTCGAAGAAATAGATGCATACATGTGTATCAGCATCATTTTGATAGAAGACAATTTCGTTTAAATTTCTTGGGCATCCTTCAGTGCATACCTATAGATTTTTTGTTTTTCTTACGAGCTGGGTACTATGCTTTGTATGGAAGTTTATTTGGCAACTCTATTACTCAAAATAGTGAAAGACTTGCATGCGAGCTCCATGAAGCACAGTTGTACCCCTCATTCAGCATTTGGAATAAAAGTAATTTAATGCCAGCTTTAACGACAGACCAGTGGTGGGCAACATTTATCCATCCACTCAGCAGCCAAAGCCCGGATCAGCAACCTGCACAATGCCCGTACGTTGGCTGCAAGTAAAGGGCAAATATTAATGTAATTTGTTTGCAGTGAAAATAAAGCTTTGAATTGTCGAAGTAAAGCTATCATTGTAAAACCTCCTGCTCGCGGGTATCGACATGAGCACCACTGTTTTAGAGGCAACATAGTTGCTTCTTCATTGCTATGCATTAAACTATTGCTTTAACCGCTGCTTGACATGAGATTTGCATTCTCATGAATGTAGAATTGTGAGTGGCCTAGAATTGCATGCTTTCATGCATGCACATTAGGGTTGTCCATTTTTCATAAGCTTAAAATTGATGTTAGCTCTTTATATACCTCCGATGAGTCACTTATAATAATTTAATTCTAATAAACATGCACATAAATATTGGAAAATAAACCTTTTCAAACTACTCTTTAGTAGCACACGAATCACTCGTGGAGCACCATTTCTCAGCTACCTTAAAGTTTATCGACACTGATGTGCCTGGTTTTTAATGTAGCTTAAAAAATTACCTTGTCTTTTAGAGATTAATTCTGCTTATTAAACTAAATTTCACAGTTGAATGCCTTTAAATAAAATGAGAAACTGGCTCCACTAGGGTAAACCATTCCATAATAAGCCTTGTTCCCTTGTTCTCACAACTCGGTGAAGGTTCCCCTGAGAGTGAGGTTTCCGTAATCAGATCAACCCAGACTTCTAGATATCCAAGGACTGTCACTCCAGCAAGGGTATATCAGAGCAAGAGACACTGCGATCTAAGAGGTATTTTGTATCTGAAAAGAGAGTCTCTGACACAGTACACTTAGTAAACACTCGACTTCCTAAATGAATCCTGAAGGGGCTTTGGTGGAAAAATTCTCAAGGAGCTTTAAAATTAATTAATCTTTGTCCAGCCATGGTTGGGCAGTCACAAAGAATGTGTTCGGAAGTTTCCTCTACTCTATGCAGACCGGGCATTCAGGCTCGGCGATTCGGTACCTATGAAATCTTAATTGGTTATGACCTGTTAGGTATCCAGAGAGTAGCCTGATGTAATGTATATTTAATTGAAGAATACCCGAACTGTTAAAAATGTAGGCGAAGAGCCTGGCCTGTCTACGTCTCCCCACCGCCCGCCAGTAGTTACTGTGCTTAGAGTAGAGAGAGCATTTTTAGTTGAAAAATCACATGTTTGTTTGTTTGTTCGAATAATCAAATCACAAATAAAATTTGTTTTTTATTTTGTAGATAATTTTTTTTCGCAATTTATTCAAATTAAATTTTTTGTGAGGGTTTGTTGACTAAAAGCGATATGAAGGCCCAGATACGAAGGTTTGAGCAGTGAAAAAAAATTAATTCAAGTAGGGACATCCCTAATGCATGCTATTAGAAATTATTTTAGTGATAATTTGGCAGGCTTTGGTGATATTTCGGTGAAACAAATTAGATTTTATAATGAAAACTTTATATTTAGTCTTCAATATTCAATCAACAAAATGATTTGCGGCAACCATTGTGGAAATTGTCGCTCTCTGTTCGCATACACTCCGCTAAAACGTCTAAATTTCTACACATATTCAACTTTTGCTTATTCATATCTCACATTTTAAACTAACATTTTTCTACTCTTCCTTGCAGGCAAAGGCTTGGGCGCCGTTATCGGATTGGCGCGTGACGACAAGGTGCCCCAATCGGAGGCACAGCTCATACATCAATGGTTAGCGATTGCCGCTTGCATTATTGCGCTCGTTTACTTCATCATTTACAATTTGCTTTTGGCGCCACGTTGCGCTGCCAAATCACAGCATATTGAAGAGTTGATTTCAGGCTCGGCATCGCAAAATTTCAGTAATGGCACTGGCAATGGAGCCGGCAGCACCGGACAGGGTAGCACCAGCGCTGGCGCAGCGCTAAATGGCAACTCGAATTACTCGCCGCTACGTGTGTATCACAATGAGCGAGGGAAATTGGGACAATTTAGATTTTAAATTTAATTAATGCGCTTTGAAATACATATGCAGATACGTACATACACGTGTGTATGTATGCATGTTTAATGTATTTGTTTAAACAAGTTATTTTAAATAATTTTAACTGAGTGTTTACAAATGTAATTTTTAATTTAAAACATTTTTTTGTATTAAATGAGAAAAATATTAAATGTAATAAAAAGCTTTTGACTTACTAAAACTCTAAAAAAAAATAAATTTACAAAAATTTTAAATATAAAATCGGTCGAAAAAAATCAACTGCAGCACCACAGCCACTGTTCGTAATTTTTGGTGTTTGGTGAATAGAAGCGAGTTCTGGCAAAAGTCACCGGCAAAGGTTTCAGTATCACAAAATTTTATGCAGCAATCAGCCCACCTTGTCATTGAATATTTACAAAAAAAAGAAGAAGAGTAAAAAAAAAACAAATTACGACAATCCAGCAACAATCGCTTTCATACGCGTCCGCTATCTTGCGCCATCAAGCTGCTAACAACAACAACAACAAATGTTAATTCTAGTTTTAAGCGTAGATTTTGCTAAGATTATACACTGTAAAGTAATAATAAATGTTTCTCATCTAATTTTAATGAAATTACAATGAAAAAAAAGAAAACAAATACGCACGAAAAATGCAATTAAAAGAAAATTTCATTAACATGCCTGCAAAATATGATAGAATAAAATGTTGAACAAAAAACCACAATTAATAATCAGTGTAATAATAATTGTGCATTGCTTGAAAAACAAGACCGTTATTAAAATTAAGTAAATTAAAGATGTAATAATTGAATTAACATGCATACATATGTTTTTAAAAATATTTTAATGAACAATTTAATATATTTTTTTATTTTTCTATATTTTTTTATGCGCAAAACATACTTTTCCTCTTGTACAATGTTGTGTAAAACCTGAAAAAACTATTTATGCACAGCATTAGTTAGTTACATATGTATGTACTATGTGTTTAATTTTGCATAAAAAGTTAATAATATCCAGTGATTTATTAAGCTTTGAAATATGAGCGAATCATAATTAAAATCCAAATGTCTAAAATAAAAGTGATGATTTTCTACTAATTACGGCTATAATATTTATTGCGGTATTCGCGCGTAATAAAAATTATAAAAAAAGGTTTAAACAATAAAAAATTTGAATTGAAAAAAAATCTCATTATCACTTTTTTACTGTTTGGGAATATGCATTTTTAATTTGTTATTATTTCCTGTTTAAATAAAATGTTCATACACAAGAGATATTTGTAGTATGTTCATGCCAAGGCATATTGAATAGGTAGAGTGGTCGGATTAGGTAGATTTGGTCTTTAAAATACTAAATATTGTAAATATTTTCCCAAAAATTCTGAATTGTCAAAATTTTGTTTAATGAGAAACCTTGTGTTTTTTTTTAATTACCCTGTGCACGAAAATTAAACTTTTTGTTTACAAGCCGACGACGTATCTTGTAAAGTCAATTTGGGTACGCAGTGGTGTTGGTCATATTCCGAGGTTAGGTCCATAAATATAATAGAGTTACCTGAAGTTCAGGTTTTTAGGCGGAATCCGTTTGTGAGCGAAATTTTACGAGTTTTGGTGGCTCTGAAAATTCGTATTGGAGGTTTTATAATGCTAGGAATGCGAATTCGACACAATTTTTGCGATCTGATAAATATTTAGTACAGCTTTCATACAAAACACATCCAAAAATTAACGAAAACGGCCGAAAACACTGATTTTTATATGAAATTTGTTGGAATTTGACGTTTGTTTTTTCCACTCAAGTATAGTTTGAAGTCATTTCAATTTGAAATAGGTATAATACCATGATACAATAATTTTTAGAAGGTAGTTTCACTTCTTCTTCTTATCCGCCATGTTAGCTATCTGACAGAAAACGTGTTTCGTATTTTTTGTTGTACCAACTTTTTCAAAAAAAAAAATCCAGCTTTTGACGTTGGAAAAATAAAAGAAAGAAAAGCCAAACATATAAGTAGAGAAATTTTCGAATATTTTGTAATAATTTTCTTCATAAAAAATTAACTGCTGCTTTCGTGGATATTGCAACACACGGAATAGATGTAAGGACACAGCTATAAGAGCCACCGCACACCACAGACTTTATCGGCCGCCTATTTAAATGATAGGGCTCGCTTGAAATATGTACATGAAGATGTATGGAGGTCCGCACATTACACCAGCTTAATCGCTCTGACCAATAGGTTGTGGTGCAATGGAAAGACTAGCGAGCACATCTAAATTGGCGGCCGATAAAGTCCGTGGTGTGCGATGGATCTAATCCATTATAAACAGGAAATATTGCTGTCATATTTTCATTTTTATGATTTTTATTATATTTATATTAAAAATTAAGTGATCAGTTATGAAACATATAAATCTTTACATGTTCTGTTAAAAAATATCTAAAATAACAAGCGATAATCCCCAAGTTCTATATCGTAGCAGTAGCCACATTGCTCGTTTGTCACAGACACGGTTTATGTAAAAAATTTTGAAGTGAAACTACCTTCTAAAAATTATTGTATCATGTATAATACCATAAAAATTTCAGAGTTTTTGCTCAAAATCGAAAATTTTTTATGAGTGGTATATTTTCCTCTCTGATTGCGATGAAATGTTTAGGAACGTGTTTTTATCAACACAAAGAAAAAAAACATATATAAAAATTTAAAAGTATTGCCAACAAATTTTGGGCCATTTCCATACAAAAATAAACGTATTTTGCCGTTTTCGGTAGTTTTTTGGAAATTTTTTATATGAAAGCCAGGACATTTTTAATTAAATATTCAAAATTATTATTGTTTTTTTTTTAATTTTCACTCTCTTGATGGTAAATAATTTTGTTTAAATGTACTCAATTTGAAGGAAAAATTTAACGCTAAATTATACTAATCTACGTGTACATACATATGTTTCATAGTTCGTCAAATGAATATATTTGGGATATGACGTGTAATTATGGGAGTCAAATTTCCACGGTTACCCAGAATGACGTTGAGCATAACTTCCAGCTCCAGTCAAATTGATTGACAGCTTGACTATTCATTCGTAACTAAACATTAGACCTGTTCTAGTATTCGTCACATTTACAGGAAAAATATTTGGCATTTACTCTTTTGCTATGTGTTTGGCCGAATTTCTAATCCAATTTGTGACCTACAATTTTACGTAAATATGTAGTTTTATGGGAAGCTCTTTCCAAGGCAAAAATACACTCGGAGGTTTGTGAATGCTTGCCGAGTGGCCACCGCTAATAGAAAAACCATTTTCATGATAAGTTCAGTCTTCCATCTGTGTTTGCAGGAGATTGGAGGTCTGCCCATGTGACATGCATGGAAGCCGTCCCCTGTATCCGTTCCTACTTGGCTTTGAACAAACTCTTGCTTAAAGCTGGCCACCACACGTTGAGCCCGTAGAAGAGGATGGCCTTATCACAGCTGTGTACATTCAGTGTACTATATGTGGTTGTATTCCCCCCTTTACTATAGCCATCTTGCAGGCAAAGAATGCGGCGTTGGCCTTCCTGGAGCGGTCTTCTATGTTTCGCTTGTTCTGGAAATTAAAAATTATTGTTCGATTTTCTGTAAGTTTGTGCTATATTTAAGGCTTTCATTTATTTGTGCTTCAATTTCAATTCCATGAAATTCACTATGTAGAATTGTTAAAATAGTAAACAATTATTGTTTATTTAATTTAAGTTGTAGTAATTCTCCATAAAATTTATTGTCAAATACAAGAATAATCGAAATTGGAAAGCTTTGCAAAGGCGTAATTAAATAAAGAATATTTCCTTTAATTTTATTTCCCCAACAATTCATTTCACATCAAAGTATTTAATTTGTATGATAAATGTTCTTAAAACATAAATATTTACATTCGAATGAGGGAGGCTCTTTAACGCATTTTAATTTAAAATCACATAAATAACCAATGGATAATGGAAATGAGATTAATACATTTATAACAAAAAAAAACGCAATAGATTACCAGCAGTGATCGTGGGTAAGCCACCACCACGTAAGTATGTATGTAAGACGTGAGCGCATTTGTGTTGCAGCTGCAGCTATTTGTTTTTTCGCCATGAATTGTATAATTAAAGTTTTATATAAAGAGCGAAAAGTAATTAAACATTAATGTTTTAAGCATTTAAACAAATAGTCGAAGTGTCAACGCGTTTCTGACAGTTGTAGCATTGTTATGGAAATGCTTGCATAACTCCCGCGCAGCGAAGAGCCGCGCTTTGATTCATTAAAATGTGTCTTAACAATTCCCCATATGCGCACACATGCACGCAGACAAATGAACGCTTACTTTTACCATAAATTAAAGTGTAATAAGCAAATAAACAATAATTGTATATGTAGAGGTATTCGCACTGATGCGTTATGCACATATATGCCCTGCAGGAAAAAATGAAAAAAATTATCAATTGATAAGAACCAACTTGTAGTTAGTTTTTTCTGCGGGATTTCTATAAAATATATAACTTGTAGTTAGCTATAAAAAGCTAACTTGAAACTAGTTGAAAAATAATGCAGCGGCAATGCAGACGTAATCGCGAGATGGCTTTCTTTAAACAAGTTTCGATTTGCATATCCTCATTCAAATTTTACTTTGAATTCTCTTTCTTTCTGTACTTCACAAATACTTTTTCGAACTGAGAATAAATAAAAGGAAGTTCGAAATTTTATATTATCATTTTGAAGTTACATATGTCTGACGAAGTTCGAATATAGGACCACCTACAGCAGACTATGTAAATGTAATAAAATAAAGTAAATAAATAAAAAAGTAAAACAACAAAAAGATATTTTGTTTTTCTTTTCAATATTTTATGTCCAAAAGTATTTAGTTACAAGTTAGTTGACATCTAACGCAGACGCCATCGCCATAGAAATATAGTTAGCTTTCCTTAAGGAAAATATACAGATAACAGCGACCTTTAGTTCCTTCCTAAACACCGTCGAGTTAACTTAGAGTTAGATACATTTCCCGCAGGGTAAATGCGTATGTATGAATGTGTGTTCGAGTACTTAAACGAATGCACCTCGGCAG